TCTCTTCCCCTTCATCCATCCCACTTCTTCATGTCACTCCTTCTTCTTTTCCATTTCCAGGCCCCCCTCTCTCTTCCTCTCCTGCCATTCCATCTTTATATCTTCCATCTTTATCTTCCACTTGTCTCCTCTGTTCTTGGTTTTATTTCTCTCACATCAATCTTTTGTTCATTCTCTCATTTCCTCTTCCACAGTTTCCCGTTTCAACTTCTTTGACCTCTTATTTTTTCTCTCTCCTCACCTTTAATCCATTTTTATTTTTTTGCTGTGTAAAACAAAATTAAATCATTTTAAGCTGTTGTTGGTCATAATTTGAGTCAACAGCAAAATTATTTTTCTTAAAAAAAAAAAACATTTTAACATCTTTTTTACCAACTTACAAATTATTTCACCTATCATTTACATCTGACCATTTTATGATACTCTATTCCTTCTCTGCTTATTTTTTGGCCTCTGCTCCTCTATCATTTATCTCTATTTCTTCCTCCTCCACTCTCTCAGCAGGACAGCAGACAATATGTCTGGTCACACCACCTCAGGCTCTTTGACTGGACCTCTTTCTTTCTTTCTGTCATGGTGACCTCATCAACAAATATATCACAGTGAAACTTTGATTCCTTTTTTGGTTAGTTTTTTGTGGTCTATCCTTTTGGATATTACATTATGAAAAAAGCTACCTGAATTGTTGAAAATGCTTTATTTCACAGGTTTGATATTTTCCTAATGATTTCTTCAAAGTTTCCTGGAAAGAGCTGGATATTAATTACAAGAAAAAATGATACAAAGTTCAGAATAAGATAAAAATGAAAATCATATACATAATGGAGACTTTTCTTAGTGTAGTACATGTGGAAGTGTAAGATTTGAACCTTGGTAGTTCAGGGGAACTGTTTAACCTGCACACAAAACTCTTTTTCTCTCTCACACCTTCCACTTCAACAGTCCAGCCATCCATTCTGCTTTAAATTAAATTTCAGACAACACAACAACCCCCTCCCTCCCTCTCTTTTTCCCTCCCTCCATCTTGTTTTCTTTATACCTTGCAGACAACTGTACTGTGAGTGTAATGGACATTCCTCCAAAGCTGTCAACCGTGACCAAGGCAAAACCAACTGACCTACACACACACACACACACACACACACACAGAGAGATGGACACAACATAAGAATGCACAGATAAGCATGCATGCATTCCCACACTCGGACATTTTATACAGCAAACTGAACTGTACATGCATGTTCAGCATGAATAAAAAGAAGCTTACAGGCACATTCAGACACATAATAATGCATTTACACAATAGAAAAAAACATGCACAGAAACACACACGGAAAGGGTCGTCTCTCTCACTCTGTTGGTTGTTGTGGATAGAAGTCAGTTCCAGGTCACTGCACAGAGCCAGGGATCTTAGTCCATACAAAAGAGTGTATGAGTTTTGTGTGTGTGTGTACGAGAAGTGGTGGGGGTGTGTTATCTGTGGGGGTGTGTATTGTTTTTCTACATGTGTCTCAGGTAATATACTCAGCCTGGAGGCATCAGAACCAGCACTCGCACTCTGAAACACTTCAGCAAAACTGTCAAATTGAAAAAAATCTGACTGCGACAGTCAGGTGTCAGTGTCAGTATGTGTGCCATAGTCCATTGCAAAGCATCATGGGCAAAGGCAGACCGTGCCTGATCAGGTGAGGAGTTAACAAGAGTCATGATTGGTTAGCTGTTAAGTTACTGGATTTTAGAGCAGTTGATATTATTGATTCAGATATAGATGGACAGTTACGGGTGTCTTACCTCTGCGAGTGTGTGTGCTGCTGAAAGTGTTTGTCATAACAATGATGAAAATGATGGGTTGTGTGTGTGTCACAGGCCTAACGGCAGCAGCCATGGCCGAGCTCCAGAAGCTGCAGAAGATGAAGATGATGATGAGTCTCCAGAACGGCAACGAGTCTGACAACGACGACCTACACTCCAATACAGGTAACATGCACATTTGAACATTGGAAAGTGAACCTGGAACACATTTATATATGGAAGTGGCACACACTGTCCCCCATTGTGTTACTCAGCACATTTAAAGTCAACATTGTAATCCAGTTATGGTAATTATTTCTGTACACAGTATGAAGTACAGGAACAGTATCAAAATCATTATCAGTAAAGGTTTCACATAAGAAACGTAGGAAATCAGATTAAAAATTGAAATTTCAGAATTTGCCTGTTAGTCACAATCACATCTTTAAGTTTCTTCAGTATCAAAGTAATTGAGTAGTAGAGGTCTCTATATCCATGGGTACATTGTTTCTTAATTATGTAACAATGTTGCCACAAAAACTCCAAACAGCCATAAGTCTGACGTAACAGGAGTCAGATGTATATTTCAGTGTGAGCTCTCTGCTTTGTTTACTGTCCCCTAGCTCCTCACGCTTTCGCAGAGCTCTAGTATGGCACAAACAAGTAAGCTAATCCAGGTTGGAGACTGGAGGGCAGTGCACATTGGCTGTGTGTGACGTGTGTCAAAACAACTGCTCCCATTATGTACAGTGCAAACCCACATACCAGCAGAGAAATATATGCGTCATCTATGATGTTGTCCTATATGCCCAGTGTTGACATGTGTCAAAAGAAAAAAAATACTGAAGTACTCACCCATTTGGGTAGTCCCACACTGAACTTGCGCTGCTCCCAGTGTGCATTACAGGCAACGCGATGCACCGCCCCAGTGTGTGCTGCCTTTGACAGATGTGAACTCTGAGTAGAGGCAATTCAATTGTTGGCTTTAGTCTCTGTACAAGGATTGTTGAAAGTACCATTAATATAGAAAATGACTGGCCTTATCCTTTAAATATGTCAATATGGTCTACAGTAAACAAGGCTCAACCACTACACCGCTGTGTAAATCCATAACAACTTTATAATTCTTGTTTGCATCTCCACAGACATTATGGGAACGGTAGTTCCAAAACGTAATCCCAAAACATTCGGCCAGCTGGTGTATTTAACACAGTAGCCTCTAACATGTTTTTACCTTGTAGGAACATTTTTGTTTTGCTTTTAGGGGCCTGGGTCACTAGAAGTAAGCATGTGATTGAACGCCAGCGGGAGATGGTGTGTCACACGTACGCCCATAGACACTAGAGGCCGGAGCACAAAGAGAAAAATCTTGCCAAAATTTTAAAAGTTTTTTAAAAGAATTTGGTTCAAGTATGTGATTTTGAACTGATGCAGCCATATTTCTGACTCTTGTATTGGTTTTCTGATACACATCGGTTAATCTTTACACCCCTACATTTTTACTGTAACTTCTCACACCTCCACCTTTCTCGTCTTTCCTGAGTCCCCTCCTCTGAAGATCAGTTACCTCTGTTTAATGTCTTCTTTTCTTACCTCACCTCACTTCACATCACAAGCTGTTAAACAGGATGATGGCTGCAGGCAGGAAAGAAGAAGCCACACATAGTAACCAAAGAGGAGGAGAAAGTATTATTTAGTAATGAAACTCAACCCAGGCTTATGTCACATACTGTATCATCTCTTTCACAGAGCTCAGTTTCAACATACAGTGTATCTCAGAGTGCAAACACGATAGAGACCTTGGTTACATGAATGTGTGGGTGTCCAATATGAGTTATGTTAGGATGTTAAAGCAAATGTAAACATTATGTGATGAAAGTCACACTTTTATGTTTTCACCATATGAGTGAAAGGCAAGTTTGTGCGTTGTTCTGCCCACAGCGCTCTGCATCTTTAGTGGCATCTACAGTATATGGCACAGACCAAGTACCTTTGCTGCATGTCCCTGCCCTCTCTACTATTTACTATTTTAGAAATGCAAAAAAAAGTTCCCTCAACATGCAAAATATCTACCAAAAAAATCATCATTTACTTCTCACGAAATTAATGCACTGTAGTACCTTTTCTTTCTATTTAACACTTTGTTTTGTACTGACCGGAAAGCAGCAGCATCACTGAGCGAATAAAATGATAAGAACCAACCCGCAATTTAAATGGCTCACAGAAACGGTTGCTTGATGGCAATATTCTATGCAGGTGACTACTTACTAAAGTACATTTTAGGAAACTTCCAGACCGAGTAATGTAGTACACCGTAGTGTACGTTGGATTCCTATTTAAGGTCACGGGATGTAAATATCTGTGTGAACACCACTGAACCATTATCAAACTGCTACAGTCCTTCACTTTTACATCTGCTCACAAACCGTTTTTTAGAGCTGGTATATTGTCTTTTCTTCTTGGAACAAGAATGCTGTTCTTGTGCACAGCTTTAATATAAAGGATATTACTGAGATGATGGGTATGAATGGTTCACAACCTCTAAAATGGCTGAAAAGGAGAGTTAAATTGGTATCCCAGTTAAGAAATGCATTGGCACTCAGGAAGAGAACCTTGAATGAGAAATGAGTGGGTGGCGATGATAATCGCAATGACTTGCAGTATCCACTTATAATTATTTGAATTAACGTGTGTTGGAAATTGCTTCCTTGTGGGAGAGAAACTGGTGTATTAACTTTGATGAAAAGGTGTCTTATAATCCCATGAGGGATGGACCAGGAAATGGCAGGGCACTTAAATAAAATTCAGTTCTTCCGTTCGCTCACTCTACACATTGTGGTTTTAACTGTATGAATCATTAACCAGATTCCTCTGTCAGGTCAGGATAAAGCTTGAACCTTATGTGTTTTTCATAGGTGACATGTATAAAAACAATGACTTCACACACGCACACACTTTGTCCCACTCCATATCTGCTGTTTGCTTCTTTGAATTATTGAAAAGACAGAAAACAAAAAGCAAAGAGAAAAGAAAAGTCTGCGAGCCTTCCTCTTGTTTCCACCCAGACTCTCCTGTTCCTATTTTTCTTTTCTCCTCTTCCATCTCTTCCTTTTCTTCAGCTGACCTGGCAAAAGGGCTGATAGGGTTACTCTCCCTCTATTGTCTTTTTATTCTCTTTTGCCTTGTTGTTTTTTATTTATTCCATCCTGCTCTTCTTCTTCTCCCTCCTCCTGCTCTTGTTTTGTTTTATTCAGAGTGATTATTGTTTTGAAAGTTCGCAGAAAGTCTTCTTTTCACCCTATTTTCTTTGTAACAGACATTCACACCGGCCTGGGAAACTGCAGCGGACAATGGAGCAGAGGAATGAGTGTTCAAATGAAAGAGAAAATAAAGTGAGGAAGGACAGAGGGCAAAAAGACTAATAATGAGAGAAAAGGATATTTAGGGTGTGAGAAAAAAGGGAGGTAGAAGAAAAGATGTTTTCGTGTTTGCTGGGTGAAAGTTGATCACTTGCATTTGTCCTGTTTGAGGTGACAGTCATATGTGTAGTTTCCCCCCCCTTTTTTTTTAAATGACAAAAACAGAGATTGGTGCAAGGAATTAATGAAAGGAATGATGGAAAAATACAGGGACAGGTTTATAAGTCAATGGAAACCATACCTTTATTTTTGAAGGAAGGAAGAGAGCAAGCAAGAGAGAAGAAAGACAAGTATGTGGGAAAAGAGAATGAAACAAAACTGAAAGGAGATGAAGAGAGATGATTATTTTAAAATATGAATAACACTTGTACTCACGCATGACTCATATCAACTTTGTCCCCCATCACTTAAATTGAAATCTAAAACATGGAGGACCACCAGTAATCTCTTCAGTCACTGGTGGTGTGGACAGGAGGAATGACTAGCCCCCAACGCACTTATTGAAAAAGAAACTGGAACCTATCTTTTAAACTTGTACAAAATGGAAAGACAAAAGAACCAAATAAACCGAGAGAAGAGCTGCAATGAAATCTCGATTAGAGAGAAAATATTTGCAACAGTCTTTGATAGTTGATTTAATTTTAGTCACTGCAAAAATGCCAAACATTTGCAGCTGAATATCTTTGGGTTTTGGAGAGTTGGTTGGTAAAAACAAGCTTTTTGTAGATCAAATCAAATCAAATTTTATTTGTATAGCGCCAAATCACAACAAAAGTCATCTCAGGACACTTTACAAAGTAAGGTCTAGACCTTACTGTTATCAATATTATTACATAGGGAAAACCCAACAAATCCCCCTTGAGCAAGCACTTGGCGACAGTTTTAAATTCTATTCTGACTTTTACAGGGAGCCAGTGGAGAGAAGCTAATATGGGAGAGATATGATCTCTCTTGCTCGTTCCTGTCAGTCCTCTGGCTGCAGCATTTTGGATTAACTGGAGGCTTTTTAGGGAATTATTGGGACATCCTGATAGTAAAGAGTTACAGTAGTCCAGCCTGGAAGTAACAAATGCATGGACCAGTTTTTCAGCATCACTTTGAGACAGGATGCTCCTGATTTTTGCAATATTGCGCAGGTGAAAGAAGGCAGATCTAGAGACTTGGTTTATGTGTGATTTAAAGGACATATTCTGATCAAAGATGACTCCAAGGTTCCTCGCAGTAGTACTGGAGGCAAGAGCTATGTCATCTAAAGTAACTATATGATTAGACAGCAGATTTCTAAGATTTTCAGGCCCAAGTACAATAACTTCAGTTTTGTCAGAGTTTAGAAGTAAGAAGGTGCAGGTCATGCAGGCCTTTATGTCTTTAAGACATGCTTGAAGTTTGACCAGCTGACCTGATTCATTTGGCTTCATAGATAAATATAACTGAGTATCATCTGCATAGCAATGGCAATTTATGTTGTGCTTCCTGATAATATTGCCTAAAGGGAGCATGTATAAAGTGAAGAGAATTGGACCTAACACAGAGCCCTGTGGAACGCCGTGACTAACTTCAGTTTGTGTGGAACATTCGTCATTAACATGAACAAATTGAAATCTTTCTGATAAATAAGATTTGAACCAACTTAGCGCAGTTCCTTTAATCCCAATAACATGTTCAAGTCTCTGCAGTAAGATGCTGTGATCAGTGGTGTCAAAAGCAGCACTGAGATCTAAGAGGACAAGTATGGAGACAAGTCCTTTGTCTGAGGCTAGGAGAAGATCATTGGTGACTTTCACCAATGCGGTTTCACTACCTACTATGATGGACTCTAAATCCTGGCTGAAAATCCTCAAACAAATCATTCTTGTGCAAGTGGTCACATAACTGCTTTGCAACAGCTTTTTGAAGGATTTTGGAAATAAATGGGAGATTGGATATTGGTCTATAATTAGCTAGGACACCTGGGTCAAGAGTAGGCTTTTTGAGTAGAGGTTTAATTACTGCAAGTTTAAAAGCCTGTGGAACATAACCTGTTAATAGAGAGAGGTTAATCAGATCTAGTATGGATGTGTTGATTAGGGTAAAGACGTCTTTGAGCAGCCTGGTCGGGATGGGGTCCAGGAGATGTTGCTTTCTCTTCCGGGAAACTATGACAGGCTTTTAAAACTTCTTTCACATATTATCGACCAAATTCATTGATTAATAAAAATAATAATGATAATCAGCAGATTAACTGATAATAGAAATAGTCATTAGTTGCAGCCCTAAATGAAAAAGCTGCAAGTTTGAGAGAAAAAGCAACTGAAGGACAGAAGAGAGGAAGACGGGCATAGATAGAACGCTAGCAGAAAACACAAAGAAGCCAAAAAAGTGAAAGTGAGAAAAGAAAGTAGGGAAGGAGAGGACAAGGCCAAGGAAAAAATGAGAACTGTGTGTGTGTGTGTGTGTGTGTGAAAGAGAACATCTGCCCATCTGTTTATACTTCTTTTCTTCCCCGGTGTAAATGGCAGAGGGGATGAGGCCCAGCTGTCATCTACGCACACACAGACACACACACACAGCACAGGGAATTCAGTAGGCAATAATAGAGAGAGACGGTTGCTAATTCAAACTAATGGAGGGAGATGAAGATGGATGAAAGAGGGAACGGGGGAGCAGAGAGAGAGATGTGGAGGACGAGAGAGGCAGCGTTACACACAGACAGGGTGAGCGACAGTAGAGGAATGAAGGTGTGAAGAGACAAAGTGGCTGTTTGTCAACAAACATTTTTAATAATCATATAATGGTGGCGATGATCATTATCATACACTATAAGGTTGTGTTAACTGACAATATATAGCAGTTATTAATTACTCTGAAATGCCTAAGTCACATTAAATACTTTATTTAATCAAACTCTTTATGTACACTCGGTGGCCACCATTAGGTACAACTCTTCAGTCTATTCCAGTCCGATAAAACTGTTTTGCCATAAAAGTTACTTTTATGATGTCTATAATGTTTAGTTTTGTTGACACTGTCATAGAGGTGTTAATTAAATGATATGTTTTAGCAGTGAGTTCACAGGTAATGGTGGTGTTGTACTAGATGATTATATTCAGAGCTTTCTAGTATTCTGTCGCCTTCATCTATATAAGACAGAAGGTTATGAACTAAATAAAATATATCCAGCACACCACCACCATTAATAATGACCTCAGTTTACATATTTCTGACAATGCCATGATAAACAGACCATTGTCTGTTTCATAAAGGTAGAAATTATGACAGAGCTGCTGTTGGACTTGATTGTACAAGTGTTCTGAATGAAGTGGGCACTTTTAATTTTTACTGTATCTCATCAACTATGGGCGGTGGGCTTCAGCAAACTGTCAAATATACTATGACATGGGGAAGTCATGTTTTTAGTATTTGTCACTCAGGCTTTTCACCTGTTTGAAGTCTGACTGAACATCCAGGCCTCTTGCATGTCTGCATCTCTACTCAGGAGGGAGCGAGTGTTCCTGGGATAAGGAGCGTCTGACCAGCCCTCCTTCTGCAGCTCACAGTGGTGGACCAGGAGGTGGAGGGGCACCAGCAGTGGGGGGAGGAGCTGGAGGTGCAGCAGGAGGAGGAGCATGTGGGAGGGGGCCAACCATAGGAACTGTCAATCAACAGCAACTCCAGCAGCAGCAGCAGCAGCTACTGGCTAACAGTGAGTACACACACACACACACACACACACACTCACACGCACACAAAGAGAGATGTACTGTATATCCAAAGTGAAAACACATGTACACAACTTGCACAAAAAAGGGTAGAAATGCACACACAGGGTGTGTGTGTTTAAAAGGGTGGCAATATTTGTTAATGTACACTATTTAATCTGTTCCCATCTCCAATATTAACACTCTGACAGGATTAATCAGTACACACTCTACTAAATGACTCACGCTGCCTCCCCCCCCCCAACCCCCACACACACGCACTGCACATATATAGCCTTCCAAGCAACATATCCTCTTTTTCTTATTGCAGAAGTCATGTTTTTGCACAGACATGGGGCAGCGAGAGGCAGCAAACACTCACATTGATTATTCTATCACTTCAGTCGTCACAGCAACAACAGCAGTCAATGTTATTATTTTATTGGACGTACAATGAAAGCAGCCACTGCATCTTGTGTGTGTCTGTTTGTGCATGTGTGCTTGACAGTCGAGGCGATACCTGTCCAGAGTGTATATCTTATGGGAGCTCACCTTTGAAAATAGGGGCTATTTTAGGGTCTAAGGGGTGCGAGGTCAGCGGTCAAAGGTCAAGGATATGCTATTGGCAAGGTTTGAGGTTAAAGGATGAATTAGAGCTAATGGAACAGCCTCACAAATGCAGTGAGCACTGGTGTTGTGAAGGAGGAGGAGGATGAAGAACAAAAAGGGGGAAATTAGATAAAGGACAAAAGGCCAAGTGAGAGAGGATAAAGGAAGGGGTGTGGAAAAATGGCAGGAGGGAGAAAGATGAAATACAAGGAAAGTAAGAAAATGGAGGGCTACAGAAATGGAACAATGGAGAAAAAAGGCAGAAGAAATTACAGAAAAAAGTGGGGAGAAACAAACTAGGAATGAAAGAGGTACAGGAAAGTACAAAAGAGCAACAGAAGAAGATAAAAGAATACAAAATAAAAATCAGTGATGATACCCAGTGAGGGAAAGCAAAATAACAAAAACTGACTTCCCTTTTCTTTTGCCTCATCATGTCTTAGCCCTTTGACCTCTATATTTTCCTCTTCTTTCTTTCTCCCCCTCTGGTTTGTCAACTTTTATTAGTGAGACATTTGACACCTCTCCCTCTCTCTCCCCTCAAGGTTAAGTTCAGTACAAGTTCACAGACACAATGTAATTCAGTTCTTTTCTTGCCTACTGTCTTCTGTCATCCACAGTTTGACTTTCTCAGATAGGGAAAAGTAATAAAAATAAAAAAGGGCATTTGAGAATATGCTTGAGCTGATGTTGTAGTACAAAGTCAAGGCACATAAAACACACTGTAAAGCAAAATATATAATTAACACGACTGCAACAGTAGTTGAACTAGCATTTCAAATCTCTCCCTCTCTCCATCTCAGGGTTGGACCTGCCGTTCATGATGATGCCCCACCCTCTGCTGCCCATGGGTTTGCCTCCCGCCTCTGTAGCCATGGCGATGTCACAGATGAATCATCTCAGTACCATCGCCAACATGGCAGCTGCAGCCCAGCAGATACACACTCATGTACAACGCGCACCTGTCATTAAGGTAATAGACACACACTTGAGGAAAAATGCCTTTAAAATGCTTTTTAAATTGAAGACCCCAGTAGGTTCCCTGAGGAACTTCACATGTCCATGTAATGGTTCTTCAAGGAATAAGTTAGGTTTTTTTTATATGTGTGAATAAAGGTCACCAATAATTACTAGGGCCAGGATCAATGTCTTTTTTTTGATTGGGTCTTCCAGTTTATCAGTTCAAGTAGCATCTTCAATACTGTCCTTGTTTTTTTTTTTATTTTAAGTTCTAACTAAGAAACTGACAGAACTGCATTACAGCAGCTGGTTAAATTCAATTTAGTATTGAGAAAATTTAGCTTAGTGATTTCTTCCTTTAATGTAGGAAGCATCTCTAATCAGTGATTCCTTCAGCCAGTATAGCCCCCCTCACATTTTCTGTTAACCCTATAACATTTTATATCAGATGGTGGAAATGGGAAATTGTTTAGACTGTACTGATGCAAAATCACCAATCTGTCCTTTTTTAACAAATAGTGTGATGTTCAGAGCACTGAATATACTTTAAAATGAGGTAAAAATAACAGTCCAGGGTAAAAATGGATATCAGTTTGATTTTATTTGTTTATTTTGAAATTATTATGATGCCATTTCAGTGTTGTTTTTGTTTTTAACTTGCTGCTACACCTCAAACCTGGTGGTTTCTTGTGTCTCTATCAGTGATCGCGGCTGGTAACCACAGTTCAAACAGGCCTTGAATGTTTCACTCGCGTCTTACTCATTCATCCTTTCTCTGTCTTCAGGAGAGAGTGTGTGACAGTCCCTCTCTTTCTCCGTCTGTTGATGAGACCAACACTCCTCTGCAGTCACAGCCCAGCAGCTCAGCCTCCAGCTCGCCTGAAAGACTGGGTACGCACAGCAAACTACAGTACATACATATATACAGATTAAAATATGGAGAAAAAGGAAAACAGAAATGTAAATCAGAGCGGCAACAATCATGAAAATAATCGTAGGTGGCAGCTCTCATATCGGTGCACTTAGTGTACATGCACATACACAGGTCAATAAGTTGATTCATTAGATACAGATAGAAACATATAATAAAGTTTTTCCTTTAATTTGTCTTGTGCATACACAAACCTGAATTTCTGTACAGTGGTGTAGTGGTGTCTTGGTAGGTGGGTATACTGGGATGCTTCACTCGACTGTGACTTTGGTGGAAAAGAGTGTCATGCTGAATGTAACTAAGTACATTTGCTCAAGTATAATAGATTATGATTTTACATGCAAAAGATTTCAAAGCTGATTGAAATATCATGCGCTCTTATAGATTCCACAGCCAAGGATAAGACTGCCAGTGTAATGCCATTGTCTAATGTTATGTCCGCTGCATTGTCTCCCTCAGGGGATTCATCTCCTCTCAGCTAGCAGCAGTAATTGTGTAATCGTTGGCAGACTTTTTGTATTTGTGTGAACTTTGAAGCATGCAGGATATGGAACAAGAATGACAGGGACATTTGTTCCCTGGGTTTCTTTCAGGCAGCCCCTCTCCCCAGGCTTGGTGGAGTTTTGTCAGGGTACTTATGTTGCCTGTGGGGATACACGCCCCTGAAGGCTGAAGTTCTCTTTGCAGTAAACACCACATATTACTGTACATGAAAGACTGTAGCATGACTGACTGCAGCCTTACTCGGCAAGATGTGCACTAGTATGTGTCTGTAGCTATTTTTAGGTAGGTATGTGGTAAACACTCCTGCCCAGGCGTGGGTATACACCGTGCAGTAGCCCTACATATACAGATCTCCACTCTGTATGCACTGTATATGCATACATGTAAGACCACACATTTGAATGTGCACAGACGTGTATATACAGTGCATACTGTACATACAATCATAGATATTTTTCACACAGATATCCACCCATCAGTGCATATATGCAAGTGTACTGTGTGTTCATGCATAAACACACACACAAGCTCACTGTGCCTTTTCTTTCAACAGGACTGGTGTCAGCTGATGCCGACGTTGCGCTGACCAACCCTGTGGTACCCATCAAGAAAATAACAAAGGACAAAGGTTAGGCCACACACACACACACACACACACACAAGTGAGGACTTAATCTAAACCCTTACCCATTTTCTTTTGACAACTGAGAAATTGTCCTCACTTAGGAGGGTTTTCCTCATCTACTGTATTTACACCCACGCACACACACTTATGAAGACACTGACTGAAACCACACACACAAAGATAAATACATGGTCACACACACAAACAGAGAAGTCAGGATGTTCAGTCGCTCCTATTGATCACCTGTCTCTAAGCCATCAATCAAAGAAATGAAGGAGGGCGAGAGAGCGACAGATGGAGGGGGAGGAGTGAGCAAGTGAAGCTAAGTGGAGGAGGCATGGCTAAAAGGGGTCAAGAGGTCACACACTAAAAGCATGCGGGGCCTCTCCTCCTTCCATCACACTCTTTTTTCCTTTCTGTATTTTTCATGCTTATAACACATTGCATTTTCATCTTATTCTTCACCCTCCATCCTTCCCACCACCTCTCCACTTCTCCCTTCATTTCCACTCCATTCATGCTCCTGAAGCTCCACTGCAGAGATCAGCAGGAGCAGCGGAGGGAAGGCTTCTGTTAAAATCAATAAGGTCCAAAAAAAAAAAAATCATCAGTTGATGCTTCTCAAAGGAGCCTGCATCTTTAAAAATGATTGCACAGCAGTTTATTTCATATTGGGATGTGGTTGCCTCACTCTAAACAATTTTCTAAGACAATGCAGAAAAAGAAAACAGTTTTATTTTCCACCCTGAAGCTGTTAAGGATTTTTTTTAATTAGTCACAATTACACTACTGTTAAATGCACTTGTTACTAATAATTTTACAAATGTCAGTGTATTTCGGTTTATGTGCAGACTTCACTTGCACTTTATTTGATTTTTCTCAGTGTAACTTGTTGGAAATGCTCCCATCATTGGCCAGTGAAGGAAAACAATATACTCTGACTTTTATGTACAGTAGTAATTGAAAGCTGTTTTGTCTGTTTTTGCATGCTGGTCGGCATGTAAAATGCAGCATGTGTACAACTTTGCGTGTGTGCCAAAAGTGGGAATTTGTCCCAATGTCTAGGTTGGCATCTGCTGCTTGTGACTAACGTGTGCCCACTTTTTAACAAAGGACTTTAATAGCTGGAAGAATTTCAGAGACTTTCCACAGGGGCATCTAGCACTGTTAGTCGTTGTTGATGCTAATTAAATCAGGTTCAAGCGTAGTAGTGACGGTGAGTTAAGTGTGCTCCTGAAAATTTTCACTATAGAAAGAGATTAAGAATAGATGATGGGTGGGGTAAAATTTTAAGAAATGGGAATCAAAGGTGGCCTAGGTGAAAGCGACTGAGACAGAAATGGGGCAAGAGAAAGAAGAAAGGATGGAAAAAGAAGCAGTAAAAAAAAGAGATGGACAGAGTACTACAATGAGTGAGATAAACAAATAGATGCTGATGAAAAACAAGTGTGGAAGTGAAGAAAAAAGGGATAATGAAAGATGAGAGAATGAGGAAAGGCAGAGTGAAGGACCATATGGATGTAATGGCAGATAGGGGATAGAGATGGTGTGTGTGAGTTAGAGTGCATCTTAATCAGCGTTAATTTCACAGCAGAGTTAACCCAGTTGTCAGTGTGTTAGGCATTAAGGGCTGAGCAGACACTGTGACGCACTTGCAATGAACACATACATACACAAATCAAGGATGTCTTTAATCCTTGCCAATTAGTACCCCACATGATTGTCTGAATACTAACGACGTCTGTGTATGTGTGTGTGTGTTTGGTGTAATTGATTTCTTTGATGCTGCTTCATTGCTTTTTATACCTTCATAAACATCAACATTTCATAAAAATAACTTGAAGCCCATGACAACGGATCGCTGGTAGAAACCCTCCATCTTCCAAACCTGTGTTTCTTAGTAGTAGTCTTTAAAAAAAAGACGAGTGTTTTTGGGTCTTAGCACTATTTATAAAGCACTAAACATGAAGCTTCAGCTTGGAGACAGTATAAAGATGAAATCGCTGCATTACAGCCAAGTATAAATTCAATGTTGTGTACAACTGCAGCCTATTTGGCACATCTTGTCTAAACAAACAAGATAGGGTGTTAATTAGAATTTTTTTAAACTCTTAGACAGAACCAGGCCAATCTTTATGCTGTACTTTAAGTCTTTATGCTAAGTTAATCATGTACTGACTGAACCTTCACATGTGGATTACAGATACTGTATGTGAGGGGAAAACAAATGTCCCAAAATGCCAAAGTAGTATTTTATAGAAGTGGGGATTTTAAGAAGACTTCTCAAACAAACAACAAAAAACAAGTTAAATGATGTTTAAAAAAAAAAGACAGAATTCAAAATTTTGCCTTCTATTAACCGTTCTTCATAGAAGAGTCTTCGCTGGGACAAGCCCTGCCCCCCGGCTTTCCTGCTCCATTCCTATTCGCTGACGGCCTGTCTTCTGTGGAGACCCTGCTCACCAACATACAGGTATGACCGTGTGTCTTGCCATTCAAAACCGTTTGTGCTGTTTGTCATTTCGAGAAAAAAAAAATCTAAATTTGTATCACATGACTCTTTAAAAGGTGATTTTTGTACAATAAGAGTTATAAAACTGTTGTTTGATCATGCCTCTAATCAGTGAACGCTGTCTGTATCTCCCCTAAGGGGCTGTTGAAGGTAGCGGTGGAGAACGCCCGGGCCCAGGACAAACAGATCCAGGCAGAGAAGAGAGAGCTGAAGATGGAGCTCTACAGGGAAAGGGAGATGAGGGAGAGTCTGGAACGACAGCTCACCTCTGAACTTCAAAGCAGAGGTAGACAACCCAACTCTTAAACCCTTATTTCCAAGAAATTACATTTGTTCTACCACAAACTTGTTTAGCCAAATACTTATGTTTAGCAGAAACACACAATTAATGCCAAAACGAAATGAAATATAGAGCCATTTTGCATGGACAGACAACAAATACACAGGGACAAATTTATGGTAGATGATGTTTTAAAGGATAAGTTCGGTCATTTTTGGTATTGGCATTTTCAGCAACCTTTTTTTCTTCACCTAGTGTGCGTTATAAAAGAAGCTAGCCCTGGCTCCTTACTGTGTTCCCTTTATTCTGGTGCAGCAATCTGCTCAATACCTCCCCCAGTGGTCGGGAGGTAGGGGACCCATGACATTGAGAACACAACTACCTGTGACAGTACTTTGCAAATTGCTGCCCAGAATGACAATAAGAAGACAACAATGCTCTAGGACAGCTAGGATAAAAAAAAAAATAGCCTAAAAGCATTAAATACAACTGTGCTGCCTGTCTCATTATTCTGAGAATCTTGGAGCTGTCTTTTATTGATTTTAATGCTCAGCAATATGTTCTTGTCACTTGGGCAGATCTAGATAATTTTGGACAGGGTGGCCATTTAAAAGACTTGTAAAAAGATATTTTAACCCAGTTCTGTGAAATAATAAGCCCCATATTATTAAGAGTCAAATTATTTTGTGTAAAACTGAGACGCACATACGGCTTTCTTTAGCTAACTTGGCTGCACTCCTTATTAACTCCTTGTTTAAGAAACTGATTACCTAAATAGAAACATTTTTTGCACATGCCATTTATTTACTATCTCCATCTACATGTGAACTGACATGAGGAAAGGCATTCTGGGAGATGGAGTAATGTAAACCAAAGTGGTAGCGCAGAAAATGGGTTCACCCAAAAGGTACCATGTGCTTTGCACACTTTGTGTTGTAGAATTCATTAAAAATGGCCTTTGTTGCTCATTATTACAGTAAATAATCCATAAGTGAAAACATTTATTCAAGGTTTTGCTACCTATTCAACACAAAGTCAAGACTGGCACACTGAAAAGCAATGTCATACATAAGGTGGAAGTTGTCATTTTCTTGATTCCTTAGCCTCCATCCAGAAGCGTCTGAAGAAGGAGAAGAAGGCCAAGCGGAAGCTGCAGGAGGCGCTGGAGTTTGAGTCAAAGAGGAGGGAGCGAGTGGAGGATGCTCTTAAACATTCAGCTTCACCCTCCCCGGAGCCGCTGCACACCGCCAACACCACCACCAAGAACGGTAAAATGGGATGTTAGCTGGCTTATTTCAGGGCTTGTTTTTGTCTGCTTTTCTGTCCCTATGCTCTTCTGCCTTGTTTCTGACCTCCTGAAAAATATGCCTTCCTATAGTATGTTGCTTAGTGAAATGCTACCTGAAACCAGCACGCTGATACATGCGATGGAGAAAGGGTTACATGCTGAACCCCCAGTTGCTACCAGTGTGTGAATGTGTGAGCGTTTGGGAATGCGAATCGGGTGAATAATGAGATGAATAAGACCATTTACAAACATTTTAAAGCCACAGTTCAAACCTTGAGTTTTCCTCTGAATACTTTGGTATCACTTTTAAGAAACTGTAATAATCATTATTGTTGACAATAATGACAATAATAACAGAGTTTAGGTTTTACAAAACAGCTCTGGCTGTTGAGGAAGTAGTGAACAAATTTCCCCCCAATATCAAAACAGTTTGAGAGAGCAGTTAAAGCACTCTGAAAAAAACATCCAAAAATGTAATTCACTGGACAAATGTTTTTGGTTGTGGTTTGGTTTTCTTTGTAAGTCTGGCTTGTTTTTACCTACACACAGTTACAAGGTACTGTTTGTTTTTTTATTAGCTGACCCACTGGGGCTGTCTTGTCTTTGTTTAATACCAGACGCTGCTATAGCCGAGGATAAACCTGAACTTAATGGAAACCAGCAAGACAGCGGCGCTGTACAAGGTACTTGAAAACACACACACACACTTAAACAATTAAAAAAAGAAACATGAAATACACAGGCACACAGTCAGATACACACTCATGCATGCAGAGTCATGCTGATACACTCACACCACACATTAATAGATGGCACTGTACACAGGTGTGTTCAAAGGCAGAAGTGCTTAGGTACACACATGTGGTGGGCATATGTGTGTGGTGGGGCCCAGGCTAGATTAGTGGAGACATTAAACAGACACCATGGCCTCCCTTTGATGTAAACCTTATCAGACACACACGTGTGGTTGTGTGGACAAATTTTAGTTTATGAATCCATCGTTGTGAGGGCTGTTTGAGGGTTAAGACTTGGTTTAAGGCTTGAGGTTTATTGTGCCGTCCCTTAACATTACTGTTAAGTTTGGAAGATAGGTAAACAGTTTCTCAAACTCGAGAACAGAGTTTCTAATTCAGGCACTTTAAATATCCAATGCTTGCTCTCTGAATGTCCTCTTTCAGTTTTTGTTCAAATTGTCATAAATGTATAAATTCAATTATATGTTTATTATTGAGGTGATGGTTAAAGCTGGTGTTGTCCAGGACTACATTAGATTCTGAAGTGTCTATATCTTCGTTCTCCCTGGTTATATACACATGAGGGTCAGACTATTAGGAACAATTTCACCAAAAACTGAAACATACTGAGCTTCATAATCACAGATGTTAAGGCAGAAGTGTTGGGCTGAATTGCACACAATTCTATAGGTGTACCTAATAAAGTGGCTGGTGAATGTAGTTGCAAATTGAGGACAGTTTGGAGAGTGACTAAAAAATAAGATATTAAGAAAGCAAATACATTTTGTGTGCTCCTCGCTTCTTCAAAATGGCTGATTGAAGTTTTTAGGAAATCTGAGTTAGGCTTAGGTTGGAGTTATGGACTAGGGGGAGTGCATGATGCCAGAGAGGGTCCTCGCAAGTCCAGTATAGATGTGTGCGTGTTAGTATGCATGTGTCATCCTCTTTCCACCAGCTGTGCTCAGTCCTCCCTGACATTGAAAACCTTCACTTGAAACTCTGCGTGTGTATAAATGAATATCTAAGGCACACATACACTCCCTGTGTGTGCCAACGTGTGTGCACACTATACCTGTAGTTGTGCATTTTAGTGAGTGCGTATTTGAACCACACTCTGGTGAGACAGGAAACTCTAATTAGCTCTCTCTCCTCTTTAGACCCCTTTTAGATCCCCTCTCTTCTGCAAGCCAAGCACTCCGACAAACACGCACGCACACATGGACCCACCTGATTTCATTAATGTTGATTGGCCCAGTAGGACCCCTTTGCTGCCTTGTGCACACACACTGACAAACACACACTCATCCCTCCTGCCATAAAAGCATTTTGCACCTACTGTGGTTTAGTTACACACTTCTCCCCTGCCTCTCTCACCTTCCACACTCTTAATTAACGAGTGAGGCAAAAACTGCTGAATACAAAGAAAGACATCGCATTACAATCAAAGAGGGAGAGAAAGAAGGAAGAGAGGAAAACAAGAAGGAAGAGAGAAAGGGGAAGAAGGAGGTTTGTGGTGGAGGGGGTTGAAAAGAATAAAAGATTGGGTTCTCTCTGCTGTTCAAAGAAGACCGGACTAATTGGCCATAAAGAAGAGGATGCAGAAAAGAGGAAGTGAGGAAGAGAAAACCCTGGAATGTAAAGAAGAGGATGCAGAAAAGAGGAAGGAAAGTGAGGAAGAGAAAACCCTGGAATAGAGGAGAGAGGGGAAAAAGTAAAATGACATGAATGTAGGATGTGATGGGAGGATGAGGAACAAAACTGAAGAAAGGAAGGAGGCAGAAGTGGGAAAGGAGCAGCATGATATGAAAAGATTGAGATGAAGGGAGAAGATAATGTAGAGAAGGTGAGAAGGGTTGGAAAATGGAAGGAAAGCAGATACTGGGAAAGGGCTATAGATGAAGAGGTAGAAACTGAGAAGAGCAATAGGAGGAGATACTGAGGAAAAGGAGGTAAAAAAGCATAGAAGACGACGACTAGGATGTGATGGGAGGATGAGGAACAAAACTGAAGAAAGGAAGGAGGCAGAAGTGGGAAAGGAGCAGCATGATATGAAAAGATTGAGATGAAGGGAGAAGGGTTGGAAAATAGAAGGAAAGCAGATACTGGGAAAGGGCTATAGATGAAGAGGTAGAAACTGAGAAGAGCAATAGGAGGAGATACTGAGGAAAAGGAGGTAAAAAAGCATAGAAGAAGATAACGGGCTGAGGAGAACTAGAAAAGTGGAGATGGGTAAAGCAGGGCAGAGGACAAGAGGGGGATGTGAAGAAAAGAGAAACCCGAGGAGATGAGAGAAAAGGCATGGATGAGAGGAGCACAAAAGTAAAAGAATGAGGAAGAGAAAGAGGAGAGGAACAGGTGAAGAAAGGAGAACGCACAGAATGAGGAAAGAAGACGGGGAGGAAATAAAAGGAGGAGACATGATGAAGATGGGAATAAAGAAATGAAATGCGAGAGGAGTCAAAGAGGAGGCAAAAAAAGCAGGAAAAGGGGGAGGAGAAGAAAGGGGAAATGAACAGTGCTTGAAGTGGGAGAGAAAAGGTGGAGAGGAGAAATATGAGGAGAAAAAGATGAAAAGTAGCTGAAAGGCGTTAAAGACAACCAGGGCACCAGGAGAGAATTTTAAAAAGAGAAGCAGAACATTTTGAAAAGCAAAAAATGGAGAGAAAGGTGAAAGAAAGAAGGCAAGAGGAGAGCAATAGGAGGACTACACTGGATATGTGGAGATGATGGGGGAAAGGAACACAGAAGAAACCAGTATGAGGAGGAGGAGTGTGCAGACTTCTCGGGACGGAGTTGAAAAATGTGACCTTGTTCCGAGACCTAGTGACATTTCCTCCACCCAGCTGACAGACTTTTAACAAGGCAGGTCAACGTCATTTTTAACCAGAACAGCCAACACACACACATACACACACAAGCTGGAGGTGCATTTTTTTTAAGGTGACAGATTGAGGCGAAGGGAAACATAGTTGCCAGGTCGAGATGGTGACAACAAGGGCAAATGAGAAGAAGGAAACAGGAAAGATGAGCAGGTAGAATAAAATTATTAAAGTATATGGCAGTAATAAAAAATGGGAACCTTTTTTGTTTTTCCTCTTGTTGGTGTTCATTTATACTGTCCTCCTCTTCTTCTTCCTGTTGCAAAAGTCAGACTCCTGGGGTCTGATGTACAAACCTTTAGAAATACATGTTTCAAATGTTCATGGTTATGTTAAAGCACACTAACCATCCTTTTTGCCCATATGCTCCATGACCAGTGTAAACAGTACATTTTGATACCAATATTAAATTGGATTTATGTTATTTAAGAATTGTGTACTCACCCACCCGGCCATTGTATAGCTGAAATATCAACTCATCGATGCTATGTGATGGACAAACAATGCAAAGGAGAAATTAGTTATTAATCAACGGGGAAATGAATTGGTGGCTATTTAGATATCCGTTTATTTTTCAGGCAAAAATATCCAAACTTTCTGTTGCAGCTTCTCAAATGTAACATTTTTCACGTTACTGAGGAAAAACTGGCAGATTAATCAATTATTAAATATTCATTAGACATGCTGAACCTGAAAATAATCAAAATTAATTTGCAACAAGTTTGAAAGTCTGACAATTGTTTCTAAGCAATTTGTCATTGTGAGTATATGCTGTTTTTTACAGTTGTAAACTGAATATCTTTGGCTCTTTGTTAGTGAGACAGAACAAGACATTTACAGACGTCAAGTAAATTTGGATGGGCATCTATTTAGTTCTAGACAATTAACTGAATTACCAAAAACAAACAAAAAAGCAGGTTAATTAAAGACAACTGTTAGTTGCAGCCATAAATGTCAGACAGAAGCGTAGTGTAGCAAAAAAAAAGAGAAAGTTATGTTTTAAGTAGAATATTTAAAGATTTGAGTTGCTGGGGACAAATCAAAACTGACTCTAAGGTGCAAGACAAATTTTAAGCAGCAGGCCAAACCTGCTGCCTAAAGGAGAAAAAGAAAGACAGGAGAGGACAGTGAGAAGAATGGGTCGGGATAAAAATAATAAGAGTAACAGATAGAGGACAGAAGGGAGCAGAGGGGAGGTGAGGAGGAGGAGGAGGAGGGGATGCATGTAGAATAGAGGGATGAAAGGAGGAGAACAGGGGGTTTGAGTGGATCGTGGAGTGATAAAAATAGGGAAGGGCAGGAGATGAGAGGGATGAGGAGGGAAGGCAGGGAATATGAAGGAGGAAACAAGGGGCAAGCTCAAGATGAAAGAGAAAATTTGAGTTTTTTATTCCAGCGGTGAGACCTCAAACCTGTTTCATATCTAAAAAGAATGATGAACAGAGGACAAAATGAGAGGATACGATGATGACAGGGCAGAGGTATGTAAAAAGGTATTAGAAGGCAAGAGAAAGAAGTGCAGGATGGAAAGAAGAGAAAGAGGGAGGTAGGGCAGCTTTATGGTTGCTGTTATGCAGAAATGTAAACACTTTGCAACGTCCGCAGAAAACAATGACACCACAGGGAGAGAAAGGTGTGCATGTGTGTGCTCGGTGTGTTTCAGTTTGTGTGTATGCATGTGCATGTGCTCCTGTGTGGGTGGGTGCAGCAACAGCACTAAGGGGAGCGGAAGGAGAACGACGTGAAATGAGAGAGAGAGCCAACCCTGACAAAATTGGAGATAAGAGATTTCTATCATAAACGGATGCTGTATAAAGGGAGAACAAGATACAACACAGAGTTGAAAAACTACCATGAAGTTCCTGTACAAACATGCATTAAGCTCATTAGATTTTAAAGGTAGGATTGGTGATTTTTTTTGTTGCATATCTTGAAGTTCTCTTTTCATCTTGATTGCAAGGAATACATTAAATGAACTGACAACATAAAGAATAAAACCCGGCATCTGTGGCATCCGCAGGGCTGAAAAACGCCTGACCGATAATTTTACCCGGCCTGGGCAAAACCTTCGGTTCGCCTGCCTGTCAGCCTACTTCCTGCTTGTCCACACCCTGCCCTTTGCACTCATTTCGTGAGCCATGAGTCTCCCACAAGGCATTGCAATTGCAGTTGCAGGCGGACGTGTTACCGCTGTTCTGATAGCTAAAGTTAGTGAGCTTTGGCAGAGAAGGCACCCACAGCAGCGGAGGAGAAACACTCCCATGTGTCATCTTAAACATGAGGAAATCTGTCTGCTAAACCAAGTGGACTTGCACTGGACAAAAAATTCAGCAGCAACAATTTTGCTAATCAAACCTTCCTTTAAGGGTAACTACATACTAAATTAGACGCTAGAGGGTCTAGTCAGACTCAGAACAAACTCACCTAAGAAACCACTCTTTGCCCCTCCTGTCTTGTTTCCTACAGAACTACATATGCCTGGTTGGGACAAAGTGTATCAAAGGCACCCTCCAGTTCAAAGTTAGCACTGGATAACTAACAAGTAAATTTGGCAATCCAGTAGAATGCTGTGGTTACTGCTGATGTGACACAAAGCTCAAATTAAAACCATATTTCTTCAACACAGAGGTAAAATCATATCCATGCTAGGTTGCTAATGTTACCAAAACAATTAGCTTTAAACACATCGAGAATAAAGAACACCTCATATGAATCAAATCTGATTGTCTGGCTGCTTGCAACACTGTCGATCTCAAAAAGCCAAAATGATGTGAACCCTGGTTTTTACTTTTTCTTTGTCCCACTCTTTCTACGCAAAAGAATGTGGCCTCCTCCTCCTCCGGGGAGCCAATGTTTTAGACTTAGCTGATGACAGGTCCTCCATGGCTGGCTGGCTGGAATAACTACTCATGGTTCGAAAAACACCCTTTATAACTTTCACTAGGTGGCAGGCAGGGCGAATTTACAAAGGGTACTTTGATAGAGTGCACCTGGAATAACAACAAAAGCCCTTTAGACAGCATACTGTCATGGAGGGGGCTGTATACCTGAGGGATACCATGTTCTGTCCCATTTTCACTGTGTAAAATCTTAGTTAATGCACATTTAAAGTAAAATGAATATGATACAGTGCTAAGATATTGTGATGGGCATTTTTCACTATTATGTTTTACAGGCCAATGTATTAATGGAGAAAAGCGATAAATCATTAGTTGCAGACTTAGGTATAATCACACAAAGAGGATGTAATTGTACTGTTGCTTTGTTTACCCATTCCTTTGTATGTTTGCTTGCACCTAGAATCCCGGGCATTTCTGAAGACCCCCATGATGTTTTAGAGGGAGGGACTCTGCACCCAGAAAACCCGCCCCCTCCCTCTCCTGCACAGAAGAATTCCACCAGCCCGCAACGACTTCCCCAGGCGGGATTCCATCTTTGGTACTTTGTGATCCGTTTGACGTTGCTATGAAACGACTAGACTACTAAGGGACACACCCCTTATTTGGACATAATTGGGGTTGTGTCTCTACCTTTCCTTCTCTTAGACAAACTTCAATCGATTCATTTCTTGTCCCCTTTCTGCACAGGGACTATTCTCATCCCTCGTTTGCTTCTAAAACTGAAAAATAAAACCCTTTCCCAAGAAAAGGCAAGGAAAAAAGTTACCACACAGTAAACTGACCAGAGTATAAAACACTGAATATTTAGAAGGACCTCATCACGAATCTCGGTTGCACATCATTTGGGAAAATTAAGACGACAGATCAATCTAATGGGACAATAGACTTCTTAAATGGTCAAATAACATGATGTGATTCACCAAACCAAACGACTGGCGCTGACAAGGCAAGAATGGTTCAATGAAAAGACTAGACATTCTTATTTACGTTTGCTAATCAAAATAAATAAAAGGCTTCAACCTCCCCTCTGGATTTGACATAACCTAAGTCAACCAAACTGGCTGGCTGTCGATACCCTGTCATTGGATGGTAATCAGCTAATCGGAGAGGCTCAGGACTGAAAGATGAAGAGGGGTTTTGAAAAAGTTTTAAAGAATATTAAGAAAAAAAACAGAAGAAAACAACTTTGGAGGCTATTTCTGTCTCATGTTTCATTGATTTTTGTTTTCTGTACAGGGACTAAAAAGAACGCATGGGAAAACATTTCTTAAGTTTTCATTTGGTTTAATTTGATCTTTAATTCACTCCTTACCCTAACTTTCTCTCTTTTTTGCTTCTTTCCTCAACCTTTTCTTTTTCTTCTATAGATCAGCTCCTATTCCTCTTATATCTTCAAATTTTTCTCGTTTTTTCCACACCTTTATTCCTTCACTTTCTCCCTCTCTTTCATTGAGGCATTTTCTGAAAATGTTGGATGCAGCTTTTTCAGTGTATGAAGTATTTTCTATCACCCTTAACTTGTGAAATCTGTTTCTCAAACAGTGCGCAAGTTCAAAAAACAAACTTTTTATTACAACAGAGTAATTTTTAGAAAATATTATATCCTAAAGGTACATTGCATTCTCTTCCTCGACTTTGGGCCTTTTCACCTTTTGACCCCTGTTCCTATGACCAGAAAGTAGTAGTCAAGTTTCTGGTGTTTGTCAAATTAAATTAAAATTAAATTTCACTCCTTTTTGAATTTAGCCCTGAACATCACCGCTGAAGTGACAAAATGTACTGCAGGTGAGGAAAACAAGCGCTCCTCATCTATGACAAACACCAGAAACATTTTAATTCCAGATTTTCTGACGTACTAAGAGTGCAGACTGTTGTGTTCAAGTTCTGTTTATTCCACTGTGTGTATTATTTGTTGATTACTTTTTGAAATGTGTATGGGAGGATTTAGGGAGGGTGGGGCCAGGGTGGGTGGATGTTTGGATTTTAAAGGGATATTCCATGTAGATAGTCAACATTCAGCATTTTTTGTTTGTTTTTTTCTTCTGATGATCTCTCAAGTCTGTCACTGTTCTCTGGGTTTGAGCTGACTGCAAATATACAGTATTATAATGACTGCTCTGGTGGTGTTTTACACACACGTGCACACAGACACACACAGCCATTTGCATCTATCAAATTATTCTGAAGCCAGAAGATTTTGCTTTAATAAAAAAAAAAAAAAAAAAAACTTCTTTATAGACAGTGTTTCAGCTGAAACATACAAACTGTTGATGTCTAGGAAGGCAAAAACATAAGTGCCAAAGCTGATACGCCACCAGAGATCTCACTTAAGGACCAAAAAGTCCATGAACTAACCACAAGAACTACACTGTTTAAAAAAAAAAAAAAAAAAGTCAGTGGAAGTTATTATTTATGTATCACTACACTGAAAGAAGATCCCTGACGATCTGTGAAATTTGCAGCATGTTAACATTTGCTAAATGGCATTAAACACAGTGTACACGTGAGGCAGGTGAGGATGTAATTAGCTTTATAGGTATTTGGTCATAACTAAAGACAAATTCCATTTTTGAAGTAATGATGGCACTAACAGAAAAGTCAGTTAATCAGTTATTATGGTTCATTCTGAGCACTACCTGAATGTAAGCACCAAGTTTGCTTTTTAAAATCACAAATGTCAACTTCATGGTGATACAGGAAGTCAGGGGATCACCAAAGTCATCAGGATTCATTGTCTAGCAACCACGTCTGTTCAAATATTTGTGCCAATATATGAATTAGAGTTTGAGATAGTTCAAGGGATAAGTGAAAACCTCTGACACTAGAGTCAAGTCATCGCCAGAGTTACACACAGAGTTAGACACTCTTTGGGCATCGTCTGTACCAAATCTTAAGGCAATCCATCCGACATACAAAATCTTACACAGGGTACAGCCCTAGTCTGATCATTAGTAATCTGAAACTTAAGAAAAGATTAGAGAAACAGCAGCCTCAGGTTTAGTACATTAGTTGCTTAAATTAAGGCTTGTCGTGTGTAAATATTCAGTCGATTCCAAACCATTCTCTTTCCATTATGAAAAAGACCTTTTTTGAGATTGTAAGACATGTAAAAACACAAACACCCGGTGTGGTAGTTCAAAAGTCAGTCACATACTCATACACAGACATAAAACTAATACGAATAGTCACCTTGGTATTCTGGTAATGTATTTCATGGACACACACACACACGTCTGAAAGTAAACACACAGACACACGTTGTCCATGTTCCATTTAGACTGTATATTTACTCTGCATTACGAGGTTAATGAGGTAAAGCCTTTCCCTCTCACTCACTCACTCTCTCTAATGGACCTCGACCACTCTCTCCCTCTCATCCAATACTTCTACCTCTTTAATTCTCTGTCACCTCTGTCACTGTTCTCTCTCCTCCTGTTTCCCTTTTCTTTTTCACAATTATTACTAATGTCACTCTTCAGATCTTCACTTTCCATTTCTCTATCCTATGCTTTATCCTCCCTGTCTTTCTCTCACCATCTTTCCACATTTACCAAATAGCTGATGTCACTTTTTCCATTTCCCCCTAATGGAGGCTGAAACACAAAGTGATGGACGGAGAGGAAAAATAGCCAGAGATGAAGAAGGATGGATAGAAAGCGAAGGAGTCAACAAGGAAGGATGAAAAGGTGACCACATGTGGAAAGGAAACTGAAGGACATGGGGGAAAATGACAGAAATGGGAAGACAGAGAGAAAGAAGACAGGAGAATGAGTGGAGGGAGAGAGAGAGGGGAAAGAGGTGTAGCATGATGAAATGATGTGTTTAAATAAGATAGAGGGGCAGAGGATGATAGGTAATATAAAGTTAGAAGTGAGAAACATGTCTGGGACAAACAGTGACCCACCCTGAAAAGGTTTACAATATTATTGATTTTTAAAGGGAAAATCTAGCCGAATATACTGTTACTGGTCAATCTATCAACTCAGTTGTGCTTCTGTCACCTCCAAACTCAGAACATGACTGTCCTTAAATAGTTACCCTGTAAATATATAGCAGAGCAAAAGAGAAAACCTAATGCTACATGTAGCCTATCGTGACAAAGGTATGCTTGTTCATATACAGTCCTTGTGGAGCTATTATTATAGATGGTTACAGCTAATTACACCGTCACTTTACAGCAACAGTCAATGACAATCTCACTAAGTCTGATTTCTGTCACACTTCTAACATTGCACATATCTGACTGTTCTCACATTACATAAAGAGTGACACGGCACAAAGTTAATTAAATACGAAAGAGAGATTACATGTACATGTTTTGTTCACCTCATTAAGATCACTATGTTCAATTTATCAGTCTTGTTTTATACACAAAGATTAAAGCTCTCTTACAAACCACAGAACACTGTAAAAGAGGCCAGTGTTGTGTTTAAAAAAAAAAAAAGTCTAAAAAAACCCTGCAACCACAATAATAATCAGACCAGCGCTGCTTCTGTATTTTTAGCTTTTGTTCCTGCCACCTTCACGGATGAAATTATGAATATCCAGCAAAACATTTTAGAGACAATAGTCTTTTCATTTAATGCTTCTATGTTGTCAGATTGTACAGTATAAAATGGCAGCAGAATTCTCTGCTTGAATGAATGACTTTGACAAGAGGAGGCAAATGTCCCTATTGTTAAAGATACAGCCTGTGAGATAACATTTTTCTCCTGTCATATTATAACTTTACAACTCACTGCCGCTTTCCTGCAGAGATGACACTTCCTCTTGTACACCAGGTGCCAAATAAAAGTCCTGTCATGTTTGAATAAAGCCCTAAAACGTAACAGACACCCACAGTATGTATAAATAACAAAAAGTCAGGCTATTAGTTTAGCAAATACACAAAGGCAGTAATCTCCTCCAGTCCCCTCATACTGAGGCAGACTGGAAAAAGCATTTCTCACATCTCTGATTGTATCTATGCAGGTCGCCTTGCGGACCATTTTGGTACTATTTGTCCAGGCTTTGAGACTTAGGTTTATGCCTACACCCAATACAGTGGAGAGAATTTTCATTTGAATTATGTAAAAAAAGACATCTCTATAAAAACAGTATCCCACACACACTGTTTGACATGCACATTTTTCAAACTACTTACTAAAACTGCTGTTGTCAGTTTTAACAGCGATTATCTAGAGCAACTCCGTGGATCCATACATACACATACCACTCCATACCTTAGTAATTTGGGCGAACTAAGCCTTTAAACCAGCACAGTTCACTCGGCTATACAGTACTAGGTGTCTTTTTGGGGTTCAAACTAGAGATGAAATTCCAAGCATTTAATCTATGGACAGCCACATCAACAATCAGTTAATTGTTAGCAATTTATGAGATACATGTATTCAAAATAAAACAGTTTTAACTACTAACCCTCGATGGCATGGAGTTTCGCTCAGGCAACAAACCACTATTTTGGCCCACACGCCATCCCTTTAAAGTTTTTAAAGTAAAACATCACATTAAAACTGATATATACTGCAACCATAGTTTATGATACAGAAGCAGAAAAAGAAAACAATGAAAGACAACAAATATGAACAGATGATTAGAGAACTGACAGAAGGGAAGAGACAGACCACAAGCAGGAATAAGAAGTGTATAAAGGGATGAAAAGAAAAATAGGCTGAAATGATGAACTAAGAATCTAAACATGAAAAGACAGAGTGAAAATATAGAGATTAAATAAGAGGGATGGGAAAAGGATAAAGGGAGTGAATGTGATGATGGAGGGATGGAAGGAAGAAGAAGAGACATTCCCAGACAAAGCAGCCAGGCTGTTAAAACACACACACCTCATTCTATCATTAGTCTTCATTAGAGCCTTTATGAGGAAAATTAGAAAGGGAGTTTCCTCCCAAACTGAGCCTTGGGGTCCAACCTGCTGGTGTGTGTGTAATTGTAGTTCATTTCTATATGGGGTTCAGTAAATGAAGGAACTGTGTGTGTGCGTGTGTGTCGGGACGCTGGGGTCAAAACAAGCATGATACATCTCACACACATACACACACACACACACACACACACACACACACACACACACACACACACACACACAATCCTGATCCAAAAAATAAAGGACGTCGATAACAAAGTGAAAGATGTCGGACTGCCTAAGTCAGAGAAAACAGTGAGGGTGAAACGATGTAAAACAGGGAACAAAAAAGAATTTTGTATATAAAAATGTTCATTACTGAACCAGAAGGCATACACAACACCAGTAAGTGCACTACATTCTGCAACCTGAGATAAACAGACCTAATTTTGCTGAGTGTAGTGAAATCATTGCATAGCACTTCAGCTGACAGCCAAGGCAGGTACGGGTAATGATTTGCATAATCGCATAATTGAATGTTTTAAAAACAAAATACACATATCTATTGGTCAGAAAAATAAGGAACCACATGCGCTATAGGCTTTCAACTGTTTACAATAAATGATTGCCAAGGACACTGTCAGCGACATAGATAAGGCTACTATGTTATATGGGGATCAGGCCCTAGACTATTAGGTTCCTCTGTGCTCCTTATAACCTGCCAGTACTGTGCAAAGGTTCACACTATACCATCAGGGAGGTGTTTGTTCAGTGACCAGTTCTTTCGGCAGCAGTTTGTGATTGGATGCCTCACATAAAGATCAGAGGAAAGGATGTCTCATGTCAACTAAAATGCATTTCCTTGGATCATCTCTCACACTTTCTCCTTGCATCACTGTTCCTTGCATCTCAACATGGGCAGCACCAAGTCCACATTCAGACTGAGCTTCAAAGGTGTGGAAAAACATAGCCCCCTCCATTAATTTCTATGGGGGATTGTGTTCACTGGCACCAGAACTGGAGGAGGCTCTGGCAAAATGCTGCAGCCCCGTGTGGCGAAAAAGTTGGATCTGGTTCGTTAAATCTGAGAGAGAAATACTGTAGTTTTGTTGCATTCTCATTTCTCAGCCTTAAATCTGTATGTCCATTATGGTCCAAATCAATCAATCATTAAATAGGTGCTTTGCAGAATCCAAGTTTCTGGGATATACTGAAGATACCATCAGATAAAGGGCATGTTCTCTGCAACCACATACTCATTGTCCTGCTAAGTCCTG